ATTCCACTGGTAGGCAGCAGTCATATGGGCTCCCTCTACAGTCCATGGAGAGAACAGGGGATTTTAAGGATGTGCTTAATCATAAACAGGCTGTTAGCTCTAACTTTCCACATTTATAGGAATAACAGTATTTAAACAAATATAAAACTTATTTACTAGATATTTGTAAGTACACAGATCCTCTCTCAGCTGCATGGTAAGTCTCTTGACTGATACTGGTGTGGTATCTTCTGGTTCAAAAATAGGTGTTTGTACCTGTATAATGCATAAACTGGGATTGGTAATGGAAAAATGAGAGCAGAATTTCCCCTCAGGTCACACTAAATTTCGTGCCTGCAGTAGGCTGCTTGAATTTCAAAATTTATCATGGTAGACATAACTAGAATGGTTTTTTGAAACAAGAGTTAATACAGAAAGCTTTGGTGCAAAAAAATTATTTAATTATTGCTTAAAAAATAAGAAGAAAAATGAATTCCAATGTAATAAGTTGTCAGAGGAGAGAAATACAATCCTATTTAATGAAGTTCAGATTTGTCGTAAGATATAAATACTATAGTGCGAAACAGTAACTAGATTTCTTCCTGTCCATCTCCCCACAGACCTATACATTAATAAAAATAGAGTGAAGACAAATTACAGCTTGGATTAGAAAGAAAAAAAAAGAGGGACATTATATTTTTACTGCATTGTTTATTGTACTATTAGAATTATACTGGAAAACAAAAAAGGTAGAGCCACCATCTTACTGAAATAAATTGTAGAATTTTACTCACTGTGATGTTTTCACTCTAGTGTCAGGCATCCAGCTGAGGAGGCTGACAGCTGGTCTCCTTGCATAGTCAGTGAAGGCAAAAAAATAATGTATTTGCAATATGTCTTTGCTGCATTAGTCAAATTCAACACAGATTAAATGTAAGAAGCACGTTGCTGTAATGAAATCCTAGAGAAGAAGCAGTCCTGGAAGTAGCTACAAACATCTCTACTGGGTATATGTGCTGTAGGGGTTAACACTGACTATCATCAACATCACTTACTGATTGTGCACTTAGCCTACCACTTGCTAACACCAAAAGCTGTTAAATAAAATGAATTAATCAATAAATAAAAGGTTTCTAACCCACTTATTTTTGGGACAGTCCTTGAGTGGTACTGGCAAAGGAAAGGTAGCACATTTGTCCAGGGACTATGGGATGAACAAGACAACCAGCATATCCTGTGCTTGATCCATCAGCATGTCATGCTCAGTAAGTATGCCATGCTCACTGAATGTCAAGTGATGTTCTCTGAAATGCTCAGGGAATCTCCCTGAGAGATGTGAAAATGAATTGCTGACATTTTAATAACTTAACTTTGCTCAATCTGATTAAATTAACATTGCTTATTTGGGAAAATCATAGCCCTTAAACAGGAAAGTTCAGGATTTTATCACTGGAGTTTACTTATAAAAACGTGACAGGTTTGACACACCACTGTTTTGCTTTAATTGAATCAGTATCATGGCCTTTTGCAGGAACACACTGAAATTGGCCCAAAGTATAGGCTAGTAATGGTCTATATTAAAGTAAAACAGATCTAAATGAATATAACAAAAGTGATACCAGATGAAAAGCTGTATCACTGAGTTGAGGTAAAAATAGCTACTGAGTTGATATTATGCATATAGACTAAAAATTGTGGAGAACTTTGGCTCCTTTTTTCCATAGGAGACATTTGTGTTCTTTTCCAAAAGATATTTTTCCTGAGAAATGCTACAACATTGTAACAAGACATTGAGTTTGCAATAGTTCTGGTGTTAATAAAGATAGCTAATAAGGATTTGAACACTGTAGCACTTTTCTTTCATGAAGGTTGTAGTGCTCACAACAACGCAACCACCTGCTCGCAAAGTGGGTTGCTGACACGGAGATCACGTAGAGGAGGACTAACGCCGGTTACAGGAAGCATTTTGGCACTGGGTGTACTGGCCTGGACACCATAGTTTAAAGTGCTGGGGAAATTTCTATAGCCAAAAGGAATGACTCAAGTTAGAACTGGACTAATATGCCACAGTGCAAGTAGTCCGCTTGTCAAAGGAAGTGATGGACAATCCACAAGAAGTGTCTAAAAAAAATTTATGCCTCCTTGAAAATATCGCAAATTAAACTCCTGCCTTTGGAGGAGAAAAAACCACAAAAATTATCTTAGTGTACAAGGGGTTGTAGGTTCATATCCCAGATGAGCTCTTCAACTTGCCTGCAAAGTGGAAGCTACTTATTGAACTGCTTCTCCCTGGTGTCTGTGCTTTGCTTGTATGATCTGATAAAAGGAAAACATAAGGAATTCTGTAAAAATCCAGATAACACAATGGGAAGGCAGAGGGATAAAGGAGAAGCAATGCAACAATGATAAGCTGATGCACAAATACGAATGACTTTAGGCGTGAAAGGAGTAGAGGAACTGTCAAAGTGACTGAGTGAACCATTTTGCTTCTTAGAAAATCAGTGGCTGACTGCATTCCTCTCTAATTACTCCTGATTAGCTGGGAGTTATTAATCCAAAGATTGATTAAATTTGTCCGACAGTCAAATGCTGCATTGCTCCGTAGTTGATGTGTTTCTTGCAAATCAAGAGGCACATAATTTACAAGATGATCTGGAGAAATACTCAATAGCTTGCATTATTTTAGAAAAGCACTGCACAAACCAGCCTGAACCTTAGGAGACAGATAGAGATGTGGAGTGAAAGTAGTTTTAAATAATCCTTCTCTCTCCTATATTCTAACCTGCTCCTTAACCACTACCTAGAGAGGCCCTGGCCTCATGCTCTCCAGCACTCGGCATTTCCTAGCACATAAGGTTGCTGGGGTGCGGAACCAGGAAGAACTTTACAAACACTCTACGTTAGAGGGACATGAACCTGTTGGAGTGGGTCCAGAGGAGAGCCACCCAGAAAGAGGGGTGGGACAGCTCTCCTACAAGGACAGGCTGAGAGAGTTGGGGTTGTTCAGTCTGGAGAAGAGGAGGCTCTGGGAGACCTTCTAGCAGCCTGTCAATACTTAAAGGGGGCTTATAAGAAAGATTAGGACAGCCTTTTTAGTAGGGCCTGTAGTGATACAAGGGGTAATGGTTTTGATCTAAAAGAGGGTAGATTCTGAGTAGATATAAGGAAGAAATTTTTTACAGTGAGGGTGGTGAGGCACTGGAACAGGTTGCCCAGAGAAGCTGTGGCTTTGCCATCCCTGGAGGGGTTCAAGGCCAGGCTGGATGAGGCTTTGAGCAACCTGGGCTAGTGGGAGGTGTCCCTGCCCATGGCAGGGGGCTTGGAACTCGATGGTCTTTAGGGTCCCTTCCAACCCAACCCATTCTATGATTCTATGATCAGGAATTAACCAGTGCAAGGGCAGTGAATGTTCATGTATGCATGAGCACATGCTTGATGAAGGGCAAGACTAGTCTTGTTCCAGCTGCTTGAACAGCATAAAGCAGGCAGGGATGTGTTGATAACAATAGCGATGACTACAAAGAAATTTATCATTGGCACAGTTAGTGGGGAAACCCATGCAACAGTCCAGGTGAGGACCCAAGATCTGTTTAAAGTTCACTGAACCAGTATGGGTTTTAGCATCAGAGCCTCATACTTTCAAGGATGAACTAAAAGCTACTAAAAAAACTTCAGCTGTTGATGCTTGGTCACAGTTAACTTTATTTTGGGTTCCATTGGCTAAAATGGGCATTTAGATGTCCACATATAGACACTGAATTTAGGAGTTTTAACCTGGAGCTGAATTCCACCCTGTATGTATCTCAGGAATTGCAAACTGGAAGTTGCTACCTCCCCCGGAGAAGGAGGACGCTAGGACAAATATGCTCGCATTTGGCCTTCTGCCTTTTTTCCTCAAGAGAGAGCTGTTTCCTACTACACACTTATAGAATGATTGTGGCATAAGTGCTATACTGGTATCTCTGAGTTACACACACCAAGCTAAGCTTGGTCCCACAGTCTAGGCAGATGTCTGTGCAATTGTACTTACGATCTGTCTGCACAATCCTGTTACATACATGATTTAACATACGTGAAACTGCCACCCTCAGGCTCTATACTCCTAGAGGATATTGCCATACAACATCTAGCACAAGCACAGTCATAGGCTGCTTTTATGAAGCAGAAATGCTGCAAGACACAATTAAATACTTCATTAGTACTTCAGACCCAAACCCAAACTCAAGATCAAATAATTATTCTTCAGGGCACACTGCCTCCAAACCTAACTTTTTTTATTTACATCATCTTATCTCCCAGGCTAATTTACTCTGAAAGAAACCTCCCTTCTAGTGTGTGCTTTCACTCTTTCTTGCACCAAGACACTGCATACCTGTTAGGGCAGAGATCAGTATGAGGTACACCAAGAACATCACAAGACAGGGTCTTTTGGTTTTAGGAGTCTGCAGACCATTTTTTTTTTCCATTGCTTTTAGCTGTTAAACATTGGTAGTTTAAGAAAAACAAGGAAAAAATATTTTGAATCACATAAAGTTTATTTACTTAGTAAAGTTATATTACAATATATACAGTTTCTATTTACATATACACCTTTCTAAGAAATGAAGCACCATATGATACAGTCAGTATTATAGAGGAATTTACAGAAATCTTATTTTTGCATCCAAATAGTTCTATCTACAGACACACATTGGTTAGAACCAGGTTCGCCTAAGACGCTCACTTCAGTGGGTTTTCGATTAGACTGCTACTGAAGTTACCAAAGAGGAATTTAATTGCTGTCAGCTATCAATCCACTATGCTTTAGAATATGAGATCTTAGCTATGTCATTTCTGGCACTATGTGCAAACTTCATCCTCAGAGAAAGTCAGAGGTACAGATAGAAGGTATTTTATAAGACATACAAATGCAAAACTTTATCAGTAAGATTTTTACTGTCATCAGAAGCAGTTTCATTAGAATGGAAAAAGACCACTGCTTAAGTGTTTATATACATTATGTAAAGTGAAGTAGTGAAGTTAAGAATCTGGAAGCTTATGTGATATGGTATCATGCATTCCCCAAGCAATACATTTAGTCTTAAAGAGCTCATGGCATGATCCTCTTAACCCAAGGAGAAAGACTAGCTGTTTGCTTTGTAATCTTTATGCCACCATGGAGAAAAAAAAGAAGGCTCTGTCCAAGGTACAAAATTTCCTTCAAGTGAATGAAAGACATTTGGAAGGGTAAAATGTAAAATGAGGTATTTAATAAACTATAGGAAAAGAGAAAGCACCTAGACTGTTTTGAAAAACATCTTAAATATTTTCCATATGCAATTGTTACATTCACCTGATTGTGGGTCAAGTTCTGTATAAAATATTTATATCTTTTGTGCTATCTAATTTATGCTTTTCATATTTTTGCTTCACTAGATGTTGGATCTAATGTCTGGAAGAAAGCATTGTTACTCTGAGGACAGTTATTATGACAGACACAGGTGTTGATCAACATCATTGGCTTTTTTAGGACTTTGCCCTGAGGACAACGGAACTCCACTTGAATTGTTTTAGTGTTGTGTGGGGTACAGCATCGCCCATCACTGCAGAGGCCACAGTAACGAGGTTTGTACGTCTGTACACTAGTGCAGTTCTTGTATTCAAAGCAAACAGCTTTCAGGGACTTTTTCGTTCGGATACATTTCTTCCCTTTCTAAGAGAAATATGAAGAGACATTAGATATATCATTGCATAAGACAGAAAGCAGCTAAAAATTGACATGCAAGGATATAGGTCTACTCTGAAAACATAAATTTGTTGTCTTTGCTCGTTCAACAGCAAGAAGACTCTGCAGCTACTTCAATAGTTACTTACAGGTAATCCCTGCAAGACCTGTCCTTGGACACCAGTGTGTTTATTGGGCCAGTAACATATGACAAATAATTAAAGCCCACTTTTTTTCACATGAAACAAGCCAAACCAAAATTAATTATGAGACTATACTCTACTGGAAAAATTCTCAGGCTAGTGTAGTTCCATCAGAGAATCATGAAGCTAAATGAGCAAGTTACAGGACTAGGTTCAGGGAAAAAGAAGAGGGCTAAAATGAACCTCTGAAGTCATTGCCCATTCTTGTGACTCAAGGCAGAATCAGTTTTATCCACGTTATTCTTAACAGATGGTTGTCTAACTTGTCCTTGGAAGTCTTCAGTGACAGAGACTCCACACCTGCCCCAGACAATCCCAACAGTTCACTCTTCTTATTGCTTGGGAGGTTTTCACTCATGTCTTAATTTTTATGCAGTCTAAACTCACCATTTTTTGTTGTATCCCCCATGGACTCAGAACAGACTGCCACATGTGAATGCATCTCCATTCTCTTACACTCAGAAAAAGTTCAGTTCAATCAAATTTTCCCTAGCAGAACATGTTTTCTAGACCTCTGATCATTCTTGTTAGTCTCCCCAACTCTTCCCAAACATTTCAAATCCTTTTCAAAACACAGTATTTAAAACTGCACAGAGAATTCAGCAAAGGCCTTAGCAATGTTGTCTAACATTCAGAACGTTACCTAAAGTGATGGTGCTCTTACCTACCTACATGTTATTCTCCCTGACAGTAACACTTGTGTAATGTGTAGAAGCAGACAAAAAGTCAGCTGCCTTAGATACACATTTATTTGACCTGAAGTATCAGTGTTGGATTTGCTTGTGGAAAAAGCATCCTAAGGGTTAAGGTAAGGTTTAATTTAGCCAAGCATATTTTACATGATTTCACATGTTTCTCTGCAGTTCCAGATGCTCAACAGACTATAAATCTGACATATCCATTCTGCATGACTGGAGCAACTCTGAAGTATACATACAGGTAGTACAATTGCATTTGTGGGAGAAGTCAGACTGCAGGAGCTGTCAAAGTAGTCTCTGCACATGCAATACATCTGATCTGTTTGGGATGGCTCAAATTATCATAGAATCATAGAATTGTTTGGGTTGGAAGGGACCTTTAAAGGTCATCTAGTCCACCCCCCCTGCAATGAGAAGAGACATCTTCAACTAGACCAGGTTGCTCAGAGCTCTGCCCAACCTGACCTTGAATGTTTCCAAGGTTGGGGCATCTACCAGTCTCAGGGTAACCCGTTCCAGTGTTTCACCATCCTTAAATCTAGTCTGAATCTCCCCTCATTTAGTTTAAAACCATTACTCCTTGTCATATCACTACAGGCCCTACTAAAAAGTCTGTCCTAATCTTTCTTATAAGCCCCCTTTAAGTATTGAAAGGCTGCCTAGAAGGTCTCTTAGAGCCTTCTCTTCTCCAGGCTGAACAACCCCAACTGTCTCAGCCTGTCCTCACAAGAGAGGTGCTCCAGTCCTCTCATCAGTTTTGTGGCCCTCCTCTGGGCCACAGGTCCAATAGGTCCATGTCTTTTCTGTGCTGAGGACTCCAGAGCTGGATGCAGTACTCCAGGTGGGGTCTCACAAGAGCAGAGTAGAGGGGAAGAATCACCTCCCTCGACTTGCTGGAGGTGCAGCACAAAGCTACTGAGCAAACGCGGCAAGTCCAATGCTTACTAAAAACACTGGGCTTGTTGCACAGACAGTAAAAGGTGTACTTATGTACACTTGATTCTGGAGCATTCTAGACCACAATATTGCAACCTTGCAACTACAGCTGAAGAAACCTGCCTCTTTGCCACCCCTTGCAGTGTACCTTATCAGAGGGCTCTTCATTTTCACAAGGTCTTATCATGCAAAGCCGTGTCTGCTTCACCATCTCACACTGTTGATTCCTGTTGGTAACACGGGTGGAAAAGCCCATTCCACAGCTTTTGGAACAAGCACTCCATTCTGTTGTTTGCTCAATACAATTGGCACTTGAATCCGACACATCGATCCCGAGTGTGGCCTCTTGTCTGTATGCTGGAGACAAAACCCCACAGAACTTCATTATGAGAAAAATATGAAATTCCAGTATATAATTGAGCTCTAACACATATGAGAAGGAACAAGTGAGACAAAAAAAAGGTCCAAAATCCATGCTTTTGACAGGATTTAGGAATTTTAAAAGCCGCCTTTTTAGGAGCCCTGGATGGCAACTTCCTACATCTAAAAACAACAGAAAGGTGCATATCAGTGTAACCAGGAAAGCATTCAGATTTCACTCAAGTCCACAGCTGCAGGAATTATTGCATATTTTTTCACCAGTTTAGAACTCTAATAACTCTTTATTCCTCAC